AGGCAGCGCTTCCTCGCCAAACGCCTGAGGGCCGCTCCGAGCGCTCCCTTCCCGAGCGGAACAAGATGGCGGCCCCGCGCCGTGCCCATAATGCTTCGCGGCCGCCCCAACCCACAGGGCTCCTCTTCCGCACTTGGGCGCGGGGCTGAAGAGGAGCGGTGGCCGTCTCAGCCTCTCCTCCCGTCGGGAGCGCCGGGCGGATTTTTCCCCTTATGTGAGCGAAGCAGAGACGGACGGACTGAGGTGCCTTTCCCCTTCCCTCGCCTTCGGAGGACCATGAGGCGATTTGGGCTCCGTCCGAGCCCCTATCGTCTTCCCGCCCTCCTCTTTCTCCTCCTCCGGCTGCTGCTGCTGCCGCCGGGGGTGTTTGGGATGCCGGAGCAGGGGCCGCGGAGCCGCGCGCCCCTTCCTCCCGCCTCACAGGGAGGCGAGCGCGGACCGCCGAGATACGGTGAGTCCTTGGAAAACGAGAGGAGGGGAAGGGGTCTCCTCTCCACCCTCCCCCCAGGCGCATCCCCCGGGAGGGGGCAAAAACGGGAAGGAGGGGCGAACACGAGCGACTGAGCCGGCCCGGGGGGGAGGGTCTCGGGAGGGTGATGGCCTTGTGTTCCTGCCCGGGGGTTGGGCTGGATGGCCTCTTGGGCCCCTTCCCTCCTCTCGGATGCCCTGCTTTGGGGGGCGGGGGCGGGGAGGAGATGCCTCGGGGTCGCCTTCGTGCCCGCCTGCACCCAAAAGGAGGAGGCGCTGCGGTTCCCTTGCGGGCCTGGGTGCCTCTGCGACCTCTGGCACCCCTCTCTCTCCCGCGGTACCCGCCCCACGGCCCTGGGTTCCGTGTGTGTGGAGCTGTGCGGGGGCCCCGCTAGGGCGCTCAGAGTGGAGCGGAGGAAGTGGCCGGTCATCCATGGAAGCTCCCGTGGGGAGGGGGGAGAGGGGAAACGATCTGTGGATCATTGTGGCCCCCTCAATTTCATGGGTGATGATGCCTCATGATGATGACGATTATAGCAGGGAATCTGAAGAGAGAGAGAGAGGGCTGTCCTGCTTTAGATTATCAGAAAACCCGGTAAGAGTCCCTGAGAGGTGAGCTTAAATCAAAAATGTGGGTCGGAGGTGGAAAGAGCCAGAAAGGGTTTATTCTGTGAGGTGTTTTAAACCTGTTATCACTGTACACTTGTCATTGTTGAGAGTTGGCTTGGGTCCCCTATGGGGAGAAAGGCACGGTTATAAATAAAATAAAGTTATGGCAAGTTCATAGATATTGATCCTGTAGCTTATAGACACGGCTTCTCAGGTGCAAGTCGTATTGAGTTCACCTGGATTTCTTCCAGGACCTGCGTGGGTGGGAGTGTTACCTGAGCTTTCAGTAACTCTTACTTGGGCAGTTCCTAAATTGTTCGTGAGTCCTTGACAGGGTGGGGAGCTGTGAATTGTGATGACCCTACCCTGATGACTCTTGTAAGGGAAAAGGGTAGTAGTAAATAGCCATCCTTAGACTGTAGCTTGTCTGCCTATAGGCAGTTGTCCAGGGTGTGGAATGAAAAAAAAAAAGATATTGATACTAGATGAGTAGCTATTCATAGCAGCAGGATATGAGTATATTCGTGGGAGGAGAAGCCTTTGAGGAGATAACTAATGGATGCAGGTGTGAGGGGGCAGTCAAGTGAGTTATGGGATGTTCATGAGATAGGTGTAGGCTGAAAGGCACCATTGTATTTGCTGAAACCTTCAGTTGCTGTAGCCGTTGATGATACACAGTGCACAGTTACTGCTTTCATGCAAGAAGTACGTTGTCTAAAGCAATACAGCACATGATGACTTGGTGCACTTATAAACTTTGAGAAATTAAAGGAAGTGGGTATGTGGTAATAGTCTCTTCTCTGTATGACTGGGTAATAAGGAATATGTTCCTCCACAACCTACATGTGCAGTATGCTTCCTTATATTAAGATAGTCGCCATACTGATAAGCGATGGTCTCGGCTCCTTGATCAAGAAATGGGGAGGGATTGACCTGCTGACTGCATCCTATGGAAGGTATTCATTGGTTTCCTCTTGCTGGTGGGAGTGAATTGCACTGACTTTTTATAAGTCTCCCGGTGCCTTAAAGATCAATATGTTTGCTACAGCAGGAGTTTTAAATAAATAAGTATAAGCTGCAAATTTTTAAGATGCTGTGCGACATGGTTTTGGATTTGGATTTTTTGCTATAGTAGACTAATACAGCTGCCCTTTGGGAAGCTTATTTCCTCTTTCCTCTTTGTTTTCTACACATGAGTGATTTCAAACATTTAATCAGCATTGAAACCATCTTCAGAACCACCCTGGGCTTGGTAAAGGAGCATAAGCTTTACATACAGGAGGCCTCAGGTCTGCTTCCTGGGTAGCAGAGTTTAGAATACTGTAATCTCCCCAGACTCTGAGGGCTACTGCTAGCCAGTTATTAGTAAATGCTGGTCTAAATGGACCAGTTACTGCATTTGATTTGGGATAAGGCAGGTGAACATATCTTACAAACAGAAAATCTGTTTAGTGGTCCTGAGTCTGAACCCATTTTGTGGGAAGGAAAGGTAGAAATAGGCAGTTAACAGGCACAGATATTAGTATCTGATTACTTAAAATAAAACTCTTTGGAACAGGGTGTGGATTGCTTAGTTTCATTTCCTGGTTCTGCCACAGTCTTCCCGTCCTAACAGTTTCTGAATTCTTCAAAGGTTAATGATGCATGTTCAGGAGGTGAAAGATAAACAGTCTACTGTGTTTTGCCATCTTTGCTGATCACTTGTAGAGGTTGTAACAATTCTAAAAGCAATTATGTGCCTACCTTTAAATTGTAACAATTGTCCAAATGTCTGTTAGCATAGATCAGCCTTGTAATTAGACATATGGTCTGTAGAGATTTCAGGGTTGTGTGGGTTGGTAAACTGTTATGTAATTAGACATATGGTCTGTAGAGATTTCTTACTCCTTGGCAGTCAACATAGCTACCTTGGATTACTCAGGGTTGTGTGGCTTGGTAAACTGTTACTTACCTTCCTAGACTTCATTAGTTGGTATTATACTCAAGTCCTTTCAAACAAGGCAGCATACTGAAATTGAGTAGTGGAATTTACGTTGAATAAAGGTGATATCATCAGCCATGGTGGTTTTTCATAAATTGAACATTTCCAATCTTACCTTGCCCACAAACAAAGAGTGTGTGACTCCCTTGGGATCCCTTTCGTCAAAGGAAAGCTGTTGTAGGCCATGGGGTGGGCAGACCATGATTTCTGTAAAATCAATGCCACTCATACAATTTTACTTGCATTGTGAGAAATGGAGAAGAGATTGAGTGAAAGTGCATGTGAGAGTACATTAATATAATGGCAAGATGTAATTAATTTAAGGACAATAGTATTAATTTTAACAATGTTATAGAAGCTTACGAAAATCCAGTTTGTGAATAAACAGGCCAGGACCAGAAACCACAATTTGATCCTGGTTTGTTTTTGGAAGCTAGAGTTCTCAGCTTTGACCAACACATTCTCAGATTCAGTTGTAATAACGAGCTTTGGTTTATTTCAAATTTGAAGTTAAAGTTACCTCAGTAATCCTGGTTCATGTAAGAAGAAGTACAAGTACCTGTTACTTTTCCTTTCAGGAAATAATGCTTTCCCATTTCATTTAAACTGAGCCAGTATTCTATGTTTTACTATATATTTTCTCTCTCTCTTTTTAATTTCAGAGAGGCTGGACTCTGTTCTCTCAGACTATGATATTGTTTCTGTATCTAACATTCAACAGCATTCATTAAGAAGAAGAGACCTGCAACCAGAGTCCCATATAGAGAGACTCCTAAGTTTTTCAGCATTGCATAGGTAATGAAAACTCAACTGAAACATCTGGTTTAATATTGGTTATCTTTAAACAACTCACTTCTTTAAAAATATTTATTTGAATCATTGTCATGCAACAGTGACTCACTATGCAATTTTCCATTTTCATTTTGGTTGTTAGTTTCTGTTCCATTGTTGTGTTGCCTGTTGACCAATCAAATTTATTCTGATTTTATTGAGAGGTGTTGTGATGGTGCAGATGAACCTGCCATTGTGCCTCCCCTCCCCTTGCCTAGAGTCTGGAGTAGGCTGAGAGGGGCAGTGTGCCTCCAAGCCTTAGTTCGGAGGCTGAGTTGTTTCCTGATCTCCTCCCACTTCCTACCCCACTATAGCAGACAGAATGAAAACAGTTGTAGGGACAACAAATGGAAGGTGGGGAATGCCAGTCACAAGGTTGGAGGTTAAAAGACCTGCAGGCCCCTTGAGACACAGGCTACTTCAGGAAGAGTCACACATCCATCTGGGTCAGGGACTTGAAAGCACTTATGTCTTTCCAGATCCTGCATCTGCTGGGACTCCCATCAGTCTTAGTCCAGATCCTTTCAATATCCTACTGCTAGGAAGACCAAGTTCTGTCGATTTCAACAATAGCTAAGATTCTAATTTGGTTGACACTTACCTGAGACCAGCTCTGGTTTCTTTTAAGTCCCAATATCCAGTCTAGAGAATGAAGAGCATTAAGAAGATAGACTGAGCAGTTGATGATGTTGAGGCAAATTGGGAAGGGGTTCATATAGGTGCATTTTCCCATGTCAAAGCTGTGAAGAACACAGGCTTCCCATCAAACAGTTTCTTTTGAGTAACACTACTGTACATGGCTGTCAGTATTATGATTGTGGCATGGCCATGACTGCTGATGTCATCAAAGTTGTCTGGTACAGATCTGAGTAGGATTTCAGTCAATAAGGGCAAAAGGATGGAGGAGGGTTGAAGAGGATTCTATTTTAAGGACAACAGCTGGAACCCTATTGGGTTTGGACAATGTAAACCCCTAGTGGTGTAACTGCTGTGGTTAATTGTTCTAGCTGGTTGCTGCATGCTTGGGTGTACTTGGGTCATGCATTTCATTGCTTACTCATCTGTTGCCTGAGCATGGAACAGACGGCCAGAATAATATAAAAACTACTTGTGAAATGTATTGGTTGCACACACAGTATTCACAGTAGCACTGGCTGCTATTTATTCTGGAACATTAGAAAATTAATCCATCTTTTGATTTTGTGAAAAAGACAAATTTTGATGCCTCCAGATAATGTCAGGACTACAGTATTAATTATTTGAATCTTAGATGCTCCTGCAAAGCTTCTAGATCTCTGTTCATGACTTACTGTTACATCTTCTTGTGCACATTTCTTGTGAGATGTGCAAATTAGAAAGTGATTTATGAATAATTGGGAGAGGGCTGTTATAGCTGCTCATGGAAAGTGGTCTTGTTAATAAACATTCTTCTTTTTATTATATATTCAGTGAAGAATTGGTTGCAGTTTAGTTATACTGTGTATTTATTGTGTTTAAAGAGCTTGGGTAGTCTAGTTACATGTTTTCATAAGCCTAAAGTGCATCTTAATGCTAAATAGAAGCAAATTCTTTTGCAGGCATTTTAAATTGTACTTAACTACAACAGCGGAACACTTTTCGAAAAATGTTCAAGCACTTGTAGTGGATGGCCAAGGCAAGGAGAGAGAGTATCAGATAAAATGGCAAGAATTTTTCACAGGGCATGTTGTAGGTAAGTGTGTTGTAATAGAGAGCAGTACAACTGCAGAACCCTTGTTTGTATAGGGAAAAGTCTTACAGGGATAAATGTAGTTGTTAGTCTCAGCCAGGGTTGTCTTGGAAAATATAGTTGTACAACACACTCTGTATGTGTGCGTTTATATGGGAAGGGCAGGAAAGTGATATTTAAATAGTGAAACATTCTGACCAATCAGAATCTGTCCAGCATCAGCCACATAGATATATAAAGCAAGTGGCAGTCATCAGTCTAGCAGATAGGATCAAATACAGTGGTGCCTCGCTAGACGATTACCTCACAAAAGCTAGAGAATGATTTTTTTTGAGCCATGGTACGCTTTGCAAAACAATTGTTCCTATCAGCGATTTTCACTGGACAACATTTGGGGCTTTGCCTCACAAAACAGTGGGGTTTTTTTACCCTGTTTTGCAAGACGGTTTCCCCCATTGGAACACACAGGGTATAGGTGCTCCTCCCACAATCCTCTAGTGCACAGGTATTAGCATATGCTAATACCTTATGCTAATATCTGTGTACTAGAGGATTGTGGGAGGAACACCTAGCCCCTGATGGGGGTCCTGCAGGGCCCCCCAAAACACTGAGGAGCTCTCTTGGCCTCTGGCAGGACTGGGGCTGTGCAGCCATGTATTGAGTGGGAGGTGCAGCCAGGGGGTCACCATGCCTTGGGGGGGGGCAGGGGACAGAAGTGGGTATGAGGTGCAAGGGCCATTTCAATTCATACCTTGCAAGGGAAATGCCATGTCGTAAAAATGGTTTTCCTAGGGAGAGGCTCATCCATTGCACTTCAAGTATGTTGCTGATCCCTATGATTTCACCAAATGTGGAAAACTCAACTGCATAATTTGTGTTAATGGGGGATTGCTCTTGTGATTTCCCTTGTTTTTCTAGATTCCTTTTCATCTCTTTCTCTCCTCATCAGGACCTATTGCAGAGCCTACAAGTCCTGGTGATGTCTTATATTGCTTTCTCTCTCTTTTTACCCCTGTGGTAAAGGATCAGGGCAAAAGGAGTCACCATTATCAGGAACCAGGGGGCTGTTTTGATACTTTTCACCCTCTTTCTTTGCTAGAGAGAAAAAGAGGGGGAAGGCCATCTGAGACCCACTGCATTTTCAAAGGCAGGGCAGGTGAGGGGATTGTTTTTCCCCAATATGGTATGGGGAACTGTGTTTTGCAAAACGATGTCTTCTATGGACACTTTTTGCAAGACTGTGATTTTCTCCCCATTAGAACACATTAAATAGGTTTCAGTGCATTTCAGTGGGGAACAGGGTTTTGCAAGATGATGTTTCCGTGGAGCAAGTTAAAATCGTCGTGCGAGGCACCACTATATGTGATAAGATATGGTTTTGTCAGATTGGTGATAGATATGTGCCAGATGATAGTAGTTGGTGTCAAGTATGTGATAGTGTCAGAATGGGGCTGATAGGTTTAACTTCAATGAGTTAGCTAACAGAGAAATTATGTCTGTCTCAAGTTTAAGGATGATATACTAACATAATTAAGTAAAGTACAAGTTTATGTATAAAGCACCAAAATGTCAAAGTACAGTGGGTTTAATCTATTCTACATGTGTTTTAAACAGTAAAAGTACTTTAGTGTCTTTAACGAAGACCAAATTATCATTTTATTTACTTTCAACTGCTGACACACACACATAAGGGAGAATACCACTTTTAGTCTGTGCATGTTTTTTTTATCATAACACTTGAAATACTGTGTACAAACTCTTTCAATTACATTTTATATTATTAAAACCAAACTGACAGGTAGACTTGTAGAATTGTCTGAATTTTGACTTGCCAAAGCCCCATTGGTTCAGCATGCTTGCTCCAGTTGGGACTAACAATTGAATTTAGTCCACTGGGTTTTTCCTGTAGTATAATAGAAATGTTAAATTGTATTGTGGATTGATATTCTAAATTTCTGTGAGAGCTTCAGAATTTATGAGTAGAACTAGTTCTATACAGGAGTAACCAAACTATTTACACATATAAAAGTAAGTGTTTTAACTGAGTAAAATGTTTAATGAATATGCTGCCAGGAACTTTGTTAGAATCTGAAGAACGACCTCTTTAAACTCCAGTAACACCTCCTTGTTCTTTGCAAATTAGAGGTGTAAATGCTGTAATTTCTAATTGTGTATGTTGTGGATCTATCATCTTTTTCTCTTTTAAAGCAAACATACTTAAGAAGCCATTGTGTTCCTGACACTTTGGTGGGTAAAAAAAATAGCTTTTGGCTAGGGGAAAGGAGCATTATATGTTGCAGTTGATGGGTCCCCTTTTCTCCTGCCGCAGGTCAGAGTAATTCACGGGTGCTAGCACACATCGGCGATGAAGACTTCACAGTGCGGATTAATACTGATGAAGAAGAATACAATATTGAGGTACATCAGAAGGGTGAAGTCTAGATGTGGACTGTTTAAACTTCCTTAAGGGAAATCATGCTTTGAGCCACACAGCTTTATTTTCTTAATATTTCTAAGATGTTACTTACAGAAAAGGTGGTGCAGTTGCTCTCTGTAGCCTGTGTAAGAATTTTTTTTCCACAGATACTATATGTGCACAGTCCTCTGGACTGACAGAAGGAACCACATTGAGTTGGGATCCTGATGTGGATGGTCACATATAGACAATATTTTCATTTGGTTTTGAAGAAATAAGCATGAGCTATAACTTAGAAGTTATAGTTCTGAATGATTGAAAATAAGATAATGCACATGATGTGAGAGCATAAAGGATAATTTGCCAAATGAGGTTCAAAGTATTTATTTATTTGATTTGATTTGTACCCCGCCCATCTGGTCTATAAGACCACTCTAGGTGTAATTCACTACACAGATACCTGGAGTGATAAGTTACGACGTCAGTGCAAAATGTATCATACTGGAGAATCGTCTTGAAATATTATCCATGTTTCACATAACTCTGAATCTTTATAGAGTATTTTAAATTCATCTCAAGTTGTAGAAGAAGGGATGTATTTTTTCTTAATGCTAAAATCAGGCATGGTATCTAAAACTAGCAAATGGGTATTTGGTTGGTAAAAGTACATAGCTTATTTTTTTAAAGGGCTGACTTCTTTGAATTCTTTATTCTATTCAAGGGTTTCAAACAGTGGCCGTAATTCTTTATTAAAGGCTGTTGCATAAATTTACACCTGTGGAAGCTGATGACACCATCAGTCATGGCCTTCTATTGCTCATTAAAATTTTCCTATTCAACACACAAATACTGAGGTTCTCTTGGGATCTCTTTTGACACAGAGAAACCTTTGGGAGCCTCAGAACAGAGAAAAGGAAGAGACTAATGGCTGAAATCTGATGTGGATGGTCCTGCTGCTAGAATTGGGATAACTGGCATCAGTTTGCTGGCCTTAAAGTCCCACCCCCCCAAAGGAAAATCAGTTTGCATGGAGATAAATTCATGTGATATGAATTTAGCCAGTGTAATACTTTGGATATTTCTTTATAGATCATTTATATCCTGTTCTGATTCCCTATCTTTTCCCCCTAGGTTCCTTTTTTTTCCCTGTAGGACAGTCATTTTTTTTTCAGCCTTAGTGAATAAGCTGCCATTAACTTCCTTCACTCCATCTGTTTGATCAACCTTTTCTAGGTTTTCTTAGGCTTCCTCTATGCCTAAGGTTTAGTTAGTCTTTTCTTCCTCGTTTCATGAGAGACCTTACAGTATCCTCTTTACCAAAGCAGTCAAATGGATGGCCTTCAGTGTTTTGGGAACAAGAAACATGACAGCTTAGACACAAAATGAAACAAAACCAAAAAGATAAGAGACAAATACTTTGTGGCTCCTTCAAGACTGTTGTATTTTCATGTGAGCTTTCATGGGCCAAGTCCACTTCTTCAGACATAAGAATACGTATGTCTGCTCTGTTGTGTATTCCTGTATACACATGCCTGAGAGTAAGTGCCACTGAGTGCAGTGAGGCTCCCTTTTGAACAGACATGTTCATGTTCATGCTACTCAAGTCACTCAGACATCTTTTCTTCTTCTTGTAGCCTCTGTGGAGGTTTCTCAATGATTCACAGGATGAAAGACTTTTGGTGTACAGATCAGAAGACATCAAGGATTTTTCAAGATTACAGTCTCCGAAAGTGTGCGGCTATGTTAAGCTGGAAGAGGAGGAAGGGCTTTTGCTTGGAGGAGTGCAGGATAACAAATTAAATAAAGGTGAGTAACTAAGCATTCCCAAAGTTGTAGTTTTTGAAGACGTAACAGTGTTAGTCTGTGCAAGAATATCAGACCAACATCCCCCCCCCACACTCCCAAAAGACACAAGTGTTGTCTGAGGAAGTGGACTTGATCTACAAAAGCTCATCTAAAATAGAGCAGTTAGCCTTTAAGATGCCACAATATCTGAGGGTTTTTTTGTCTGATATGCAGCATTCTCAATAACTTTCAAAATTGTACAGGGCTGAGCTCCTGGTGCACTTTGCCTTGGTTTGCTGCCTGTGGGCTGCTGTGCCTCCATTCTGGATCATTTCCTTTTCTGTCTTGATTCTTAGGGGACTGTCCCTATTTATTTGGATTATTTTTTGTTAATGCTAGGCAGCTTTTGTGTGCCAACATGCCTCCTTGAGATTACTTTTTGAATCCCTCCCCCCACATGTTTTGTTTGTTTTGGGTTGCCTGGCCTTCCTGATGCATAAAGTGTTAAGAGGAAGAGACCTCCCCCCTTTCTAATACTTTTGGTTGAGGGGGATTTGATTGCGGGTTTCTTCGTCTTTTGTTGCTTGTTTTTCTTAATTGGGCGGGTCTCTGTGTGTTTTATTTTGCTATTCTTTTCCCTGTGTAGGGTAGTTGCTCTTCCTGTTTGGTTTTTTAAAAAGGTGTTATTTGGTTAATCTACTGTGCATTTATTCTGTTAAAGGTGAATATTTTGGTGAGGTTTTGGGGTGGGACTCTTGCATGCTTCTGTGGTGATGGTGAGGGCCAGTTCGGTGGACTTTGTGACTGTGCCATTGGGTTGCATGAGTGGTGGTGGTGGATGTCAGCTGGGTACAGCTCAGGACATTTTTCTCTTGATGTGTGCCATTGGGTTGCATGAGTGGTGGTGGAGGTGGATGTCAGCTGGGTACAGCTCAAGACATTTTTCTCTTGATATTCTTGGCATTGTTTGGTTGCTTTGCGGAGTGGGTGGCACTATGTGTAAGTGACCAGGGCCTGTCTGGCCACTTCCTTGTCTTTTTCCCCTTGTCCAGAGGATTTCTGTTATGCTGGGTGAATGGCAATGAGTTTGCACTGTTGCTTTCTCTTAACACTTTTTGTGTGCTGTACTGCTTGGTGTTGGGTGGATAAGTTTTTGGTTGCGTGTTTAGGACTGATTGTGGTGGAATGACTTGTCTGGAGGAAACTCTTAGTGTAGCCTCTGGGGTTAGTGTGCACTGAAAATGGGCATTCTCAGAGGCTTTCTCTGATTTTGCACTGGGAAGTGGGGATTTTGCTTTGTCGTTGTTGGGCTGGATTTGGTGTTGTAGTGGTCATGATGCCACTGTACCTTGGCCTAGAAGGAGAAGCTGGGTGGGTAGAGGTAGGCCTACCTGCATTGTTGTTGTCATTTAATCTTCTTGTTTTAGAATTCTTAATTCCTTTTTGCCACCAGTTAATTTGGTTGGGTGCCTGGTAGACAGGCACTGCATTGCCTGGTTAGGAGGATGGTAGGCTAGCCCAGCCTAGCTGCTAAGGGTGTGTCAGGCTAATAGGTAAGTGGTGTGTGAGTGTTCATTAGCCTACTGGGTGCAATTTGAGCACATTTTGGTCTTCTGTTCTGTTTTTTAACTATATAGGTGAGAGATATTTGGACAGATGTGTGGCAGGGCACATAGTTTGGATGCACTGATGGAGCGAGAAAAGGCCTCTTGAGTGGGATGCCAAGATATCTAGCAAGTTAGAGTTTGCTGCTCTACCTGGCCCTGGGGGGCAGGGGGACTGCTGGGAAGTCAGGACTTTGTCAGTAGCAGCAGGATGGCAGTGCCAGGGCCAAATGTTCATCCAGTTCCAGAGGTTGTGACCCCTTCTGCACTGTCTACCTTTCTGCTTCTCCAAGGGAGAAACTATAGAAGGTAGCTTTGGCTCTGCTGAGCCTTCAGGAGAGTGGATCTGTAAAGCAGTTGTCGACACTTGCATAAATGCATGGATTTTCTGCATATTCCTAATCAAAACTGCTCTTCAAGAAATATTTTGTGTTTTTAATCTAGATTGATTGCACATTCTATCGGGGGGGGGGAGCAAAAGACATCTGCTTCTTCCGGAAATTATGCCAAGTTATAACATTTATACATAGTGGTATATTATAACAGTTTCATTCTTTTTAAACCTATGCAATTGTTTAGTTGTGTTTATACAAATGTATGTTCAGTAACCCAAAGCTATCATTGTTTTAAAATTAAGCCTAATACAATTTTTAGTCTCAGCTAGAGCAGACAAATGGGAACAAATGAGACTTTTTAGTCAACACTAACAAAATTCCCATGGATTTCATTTACTTTAAAATTGGATTTGTTGTTATGTGTTGTCAAGTTGCTTCTGACTTATGGCACCTCTAACAAAATTTTGCAGGTATGTGAAATGTTCAGTGAATGGTTGACCATTCTCACATCCTCGATGAGTTTCCTCAACCAAGCAGTCATTACAACTCAGATTTCCTGAGTCCTAACCTAACACTTTATCCAACCTATCACACTGGCTTTCACAAAATTGGATTGAGCCCTTGGAATTCTCAGGAGGTTAAAAAGAGATCTAAGTAAGCTGAACCAAAGCTGCAGCAAATCTCATGGAAGTCTGACATGAGGCCCTGGGGAACAAGTGCTTTGTGACATTGTTTTATATCTAGTCTACTTACCTTGTTTTCTGTAATACAGTGGTGCCTTGCTTAACGAGTGCACCGTTTAACGACGAATCCACATAGCAACGCGTTTTTTGCGATCACTAATGCATTGCGATGTTTATGCGGGGCACCACTGTATTTGAGTTGAAGGTTTGCTGAGGATATCCATAGTTTTGTATTATCTATTAGTGTAATACATATTATTTATGCTGATGATTGTGTGGTCATGACAGAGCGTGTCCTTCGGCAGAAAAGAGCTATGCCAGATCCCTTGAAGAATACCTGCAAGATGCTAGTGGTGGCAGACCATCGCTTCTTTAAGTATATGGGCCGTGAGGAAGAAAGTACGACAATTAACTACTTAGTAAGTGTAACTGGTGATGATGGTAACTGGGGACTGGTGGGATGTAATTCCTGCAGATACTTAAAGTTATGGTTGCATGTGCCTGTCTCTGTGTGTGCATGTGCAGTACACACACACGTGCATGTATGAAGATTTTATACTAGTTATTTTGGCAAATTGTGATATTGTTGACTCAGTGTAACTCACTGTTTTCCTATTATATCTAATACATAATAATATTCATGAACTGATTTTGCTAATTTAAGAATCCACAAAATAGTAAACAGTACAGGAAAAAATGATCAGGATCATATTCCATCAAACCTCTCGTTCAGTAGATTGTAGCGTGAGTGGTTTTCCCTCTCGCACAAGTAGTACATTTTTAGCTTTTGCGCAAGTAGTATCACATACGTTGTTGCATAGGTGGAAGTCAGTATTCTGAATTGGTCTTGTAACAGCAACCAGGGAAGTTTCATATTACTGAGTAAGGCATTTATTGGCTCTCCAGATGATTTGCACTACAATGCATATTACTTGGTACCATAGTCCCTGCTGCCCTGTTGAAGTGAAGAATGCCTAGAAAAGCAAAAGCCTCCCTTCCTTCGTCCAAAACTTTGGAGAATTTTTTCCCTGCCAATGAAGTGCTTCAGAGTTCCTCATGGTTTGGGGCCAATTAAACAGTTGCGGGTTTTTTGTGTTTTTTTGTTATTGTTTTTTTTTTTTTTTTGAGGCAATGAGTTTGCATCTACAGTATTTCTGCTTCTTAATGCATGTGTTTGTAACCTAATAGCTAAAAGCTGAACCTAAATAATTTATTTCCTTCTCTGTACGTAGATTGAATTAATAGACAGAGTGGATGATATTTATCGTAATACTTCATGGGATAATGCAAACTTCAAAGGATATGGCATACAGATAGATCAGGTATTTAAACAGCTCCTTGGCATTGATGCTATATTTGCAATGTCGTTATGGATTTGTTATCAAATTAGTTAATTGTATAATAGTGTAAATACAACAGCATGATGCAGACATGAGTAACAAATTAGTATGATGATTCTGAATATGGCTGTTTTCCTCTGAATGTTGCTCCATCTTTTTTTTTCTTCAGGGCATTCATATCATTTTTCTTATATACTGTAATTTATATGGTGCATTGTAACTGTGATTTGAAGTGTCACTTTCTTAATAATGGCCCAATTCCTCTTGTGTTGCAATGCACATAGTGTAACGTTTGGAGGGAGTTTATCTCAAAAGGTTGTACTCTTTGCAATATGCCAACATAGCTAGGCAAGAAGATTTTGGCCTTTAATTATCTTAAAAAAAGAAGAGGCAAAAAATTAACACAAAGCACGTTTATGATTCTATTTGATTGGGCAATAATTTCTGTAATAAGAGCAGTTCTTAAATTGTGGGTATCATACTTCAGATGTATCATGAGAAGACAAGACTTGCTGAGAAAGACAATAATGCTAGAAAATTTGAAGGCAGTAGGAGAAGCAGCTTTTAGTTTGCAAGACCTGGACAGGGTTGCTTGTGGCAGGGCCTTTGGAAGATTACTAATTCATAGGATTTCTACAAGTCAGGGCTGTTAATGAGAGCATTTTGTGGGGGCCATTAATTCACAGGTCACCATAAGCTGGAAGCAACTTTATCATACAAGGTACAGTACATAGTAGGTCACTGAAAGACCTGGAATACTGTTGGAAAAGAATGAGCTAATCTTGTTGATGGCTTCTTTAGCAGAAAATTCAATACATGGGAAGAGGATACTTGTCTCTGAAAGGGAAGTCTGAGTCACAGAATTAATCACAAGGAAAAAGCATACTATCTCTCTTTTTTATTGCCACCTTTCCCCTAGCCCCAGGTCTTGCTTAAGTCAGGAAAATCTACCTGGAAATACTGCTTCCGACACTCTCAAAATATACTTTCTGAACTCTTTCAGTAGAACTCACCTGTTGAATAATGTTCAAATGTTATTGATTGTTTCTGTTCAGTGAATCATAATAGGCCTTATGAATATTACTGTTTAGATTTCCAGCCTCTATGCCATATGCTCATATTGAAAATGATTATCAGTAACAGCATGAGAATGCATGCAGGAGAGTGTCAAGGACTTGATTCTTCACCAAGAAAAAAAATCAATATTTGGTGCTCAGGATAAATGATGTACATCATAATTTCTTCTTATGTATAATTCTACAGAATTGCACACAACTGTTTATGTTCTGAGAGCCTTTGCTATTGGATACCCCATTCATTCATCCCTTTGAAAATAGCTGTCAAGGTTACCCAGGTCAGAGAAGCCCACACTTAACCACTTAGCCACATTACTCTGATTGTCCAGGTGTGGGTAAAATCCAGAAGGGCCATGTGTACTGATGACTGAAGGAAATATTCCTGCTTGGAACCCTCCCAATACCTTAGTTGACCTAAGCACTACTTCCAGGGAGTTACCAAAATCCACAAGGCTAAGTGCTTGGACTCTTACATCAACCCTGCAAGAGTGGAATGCCAAAAATACCCACAAAATGCACAGGCTTCTGGTAAATGGTTGAGGCAAGCCTGGTTTAGTACTGTCAACCCTTGTAATCCAAAAGAATCAAACAAATGAAAAAAATTATACTTTATTAAAGATGGTGGAGAATCAACAAGAGCAACATTTTAAAACAGTTCCAGCAGTTACAGAATACAGTAGTCAAAAGTACTCTAACAGTAACAGCAAAATACGCAATCAAGATGTTGAGGCAAGAACGATTTTAGAACAATCTGATAAGAAAGCTAGGTAACCTACCATATTTTTCTGTGTATAAGATGGCCCAGTGTATAAGACAACCCCCACTTTTTCAACCCCAAATAAGGAAATTCTATTGCTGCTTTCCCCCTCCACTTCCTAAGCCCCAGGAAAGCATGATCAAAGGGCTGCGGAAGTGGAGTGGGAAAGCAGCAATGAAAGGGCTGCAGGATCACAACCCTTTGACCCTGCAGCCCTTTCAAGGCTGCTTTCCCCGCCACTTCATAACCCCGCAGAGCTTAGGAAGTGAAGAGGTAAAGCAGTGATGGAAGGGCTGCAGGATCGTAGTCCTTTGATCCTCCACCCCTTTCATCGCTGCTTTACCTCTGAACTTCTTAAGCCCCATGGGGCTTAGGAAGTGGACAGATAAGGCAGCAATGAAATAGCTGCAGGATTGCAGCCCTTTGATCCTGCAGCCCTTTGATGGCTGTGTTACCCCTCCACTTCCTAAGTTATGCAAGGCTTATGAAGTGACAGGGAAAGCAGCCATCAAAGGGTGTATTTGCGAGGGCTTTCACGGTTGCTTTCCCTGCTTTCCCCCTTACTTCCATGTATAAGACGACCCTCAGTTTTTAGTCTAAAGGTTTTAGATAGAAATATGATCTTATACACAGAAAAATATGGTATGCTGATATTTACACCCAGTCAATAGCTTCGGCAAAGCCTGAGAGCATATATGGAGTGCAGGTCATGTAAAAATGCAGCAGATTAGCATAGCAATCTCTTTAAGAGATAACTAGGCTGGACTAAGTAACTTCTGTCCCCATTTTTATACCCAACATTTCAGTTTCCAGACTCTTTCAGAAGATTTGCCAATCCGGTGCCAAGTTTCCTTATTTCATGAATACGAGAATAACTTCTCTCCCCTCATCTCACTTCAGTTGAAACTATTTTCATAATTAACTCAGTACCAGTGAGTCAGCTTAGTCCAGCCTTGAAGTTTCCTTTCTCATAGAGATAAGGCAGAGATGTTTGCTGCCTTCCAGTTACCGGTGGGCATTCTCCCCTCCCTCCGGTCAGCTTGTCGTAAGCATGAACAGAAAGGCTTAATTTTCCAGAAGAGCAACAGAAACCGTAGTCACTCGTTTTCCCAAACTCTTGACAACAGTTTTTATCAGATTTTTGTGTGTTCATGTTCAGAGCGTTCTGTACATAACCAGAACCAAATGCTTGGGCTAAGATACAATCTACACTGCAATATAAGTTCTGTTTTATGCCGTTGTGAGCCACATTAAATAAGCAGAGCTGTGACCGAGCATAGGTATGCTGCTCAGATCGATCAGTTTAGATACCTTCCATGACATGTTGCATGTCATCCCAAAACTTGCTATAACAAGTAGATAGAATTTTGCCTACGCATATATGTGTGTGGGATAACCAGGTGGCTGCAGGGATGGCTGAGGGGCCTAACGCTGAGAGAGGCCCAGAAAGAAAGAACAAGAACCAGGGCCTTCTCGGCAGTGGCCCCTCAGCTATGGAACAGCCTCCCAACAGAAATTCATCTGGCACCCTCGCTGGGTGTTTTTAAAAGCCTGGCTCTTTAGGCAGGCCTTCCCTCCAGTCAATTAACATCTTTATTCTTTTTCTTTTAATTACCTCATCTTGGGAATGATTTATATAGTTGTTAAAATTTGATGTTTTAAATGTTTTTATGATGTTGTTACTGTGATGTTTTTATTATGTATGTAAGCTGTCCCGAGTAGACTTTGTCTAGTGGGGTGGGGTAAAAATCTAATAAAAGTAAAGTAAAAAGTAGTAGATAGAGTTATGGACTAGGACTCTGGAAGCCTGGGTGCAAATTCCTGTTGAGCTATGGAAGCTTGCTGAGGGAGCAGAACTGGTAAAACCACTTCTTGACTATCTCACTTTCCTTGAAAATCTATTAGGGTCACTCTGAGTCACTTCTGACTTGACGGCACTGAACATAACAAATGTGTATATAAGTATAAAGTGGATTAAGATTCCAGGAAGTGCACTTTGATCCACTTTATAACTGCCAGTCAGAAACTAATTGGGAATTTCTGTTGAAGTTTATCTGCGTAAGTTGCAGTGGTGATTTGCCCCTAACCAACAAGTTGTTGCTTACATTCCTGACTGGTATGTCACTAGGCGTGTGAGTGGCAACTTGTTAACTAGTTGTAATTCAGTTCCTTACACTGGCCTACATCCACAATAGTATTCTAGTCATTATTAGGAAGGCACTTGCTGGTCTAAATACTTTGATACATCTCTATTCTGAAAGGTCTAAAAATTTCTCCATACTCTTATGATTTTCCCCAAAAGTAATGCTTTAATTGTTTTCTTCCTTCCTTTTTGAAAAAAGATTATTGTTCACAGCGAGCCACAAGAGGTTCTCCCTGGGCAAAAGCATTATAACATGGCAAGTAATTCTCCATTTGATGACAAGGATGCTTGGGATGTGAAGCAGCTGCTGGAGGTAAGCAGTGTTTGCATGCAAGTGCATTTGTGTATTTGTTTTATGTGATGTTATAAAATCAGGTAGTGCTTTCAGAGTCATCCCCAAGAGGGGGAGAACTAAGGTATCATGTCAAGGTTTCTCTGGAATTCTTCACAACTGTAGTGATAAGCCAAAGAACTTGTTTTTACTCAATCAAGTATGGGACCATGAACCTTTAAATTATGAAGCAAGTACTGTATACCTCTTACAAGGGCCTATATTTGGCACTTTAGTATGTTTTGGGGGGGGCGGGGGGAGTTCTCAAGAAAGAATGCAATACACAGTTGTGAAATGGAAAGATTACCTTTAAAAAGTTTTGCTCTGTCTCCTTAACTTGCCTGGCTCATTGCTGAAATGCTGTTGGTGATATTTCCCACCTCAAATGTGCCTTAATTATTTGAAAGCCTTGTCTTTGTTTAAGAAGACTAGGTGGATGGAGTAGTACCATTTGGTGATCCGGGAACCAGCATATTTCTTGTTTATTAATGTCTGTTTCTTCTTTGTGGTCTCCGTGAATGCACACGAATGGCTTAATCTGCACCTGCGCAGGACTCCTCGGATGTTTCTAGAGCTTTAAACACATGATTAATAGGATGTTCCCCCATGGAGCCCATGCTCCACCCATTGAAAGGTCGCTGAGTTCCTTTTAGCCGCCGCTGAGGTTAGACATGATGACTAGAGCAACTTTTTCTAATTGTGATCTTCCGATCTCTATTCTGCCTTCTACGTATATCCAATACAGTGGTGCCTCGTATAACGAGTGCCCCGTTTAACGACGAATCCACATACCGATGCGGATTTTGCGATTGCAAAAGCGATCGCATACCGATGGCCCCTATGGGGAAAAATCGCAAAGCGATTTTTCCCCATAGGCACCATTTCCCCCCAGCTGGGCGGTGCTGCCTTCAGAGCAACCTCAGCGTCCACCCCGGCGCTCGGAGGCAAGCCCCGCCCCGCTGGGGGGAAATGGTGCCTATGGGGAAAAATCGCAAAGCGATTTTTCCCCATAGGCACCATTTCCCCCCAGCTGGGCGGTGCTGCCTTCAGAGCAACCTCAGCGTCCACCCCGGCGCTCGGAGGCAAGCCCCGCCCCGCTGGGGGGAAATGGTGCCTATGGGGAAAAATCGCAAAGCGATTTTTCCCCATAGGCACCATTTCCCCCCAGCGGGGCGGGGCTTGCCTCCGAGCGCCGGGGTGGACGCTGAGGTTGCTCTGAAGGCAGCGCCGCCCAGCTGGGAGGCGCAGCCTTCAAAGCAACCTCCGGGGAAGCGTCCTCTGCGGGGGCTCTGAACCTTCTCCCCCTGCTTACCGAGGCGCCGAAAATGGCGGCCAGATTGGGATTCTTCGCTTACCGGTGAGTTTTCCCCCAATAGGAACACATTAAACAGAGTTTAATGCGTTCCTATGGGTTTTCCCCTCCCGTATAGCGAAGAATCCGGATAGCGACGTTAATCCTGGAACGGATTAACGTCACTATGCGGGGCACCACTGTAATTGTTTTCTTTCCCTGGATGTTTCCCTGTGAGTTCTTTTGCCTTTCTTCCCATTCCCCCCCCCCACTGTACTTTCATTTCCACCCCATTCCTGCTCTTTTTATGGCCCCTTTGGGCCTGTTTAAACAGTGCATTTCATGTGCCAACAAAATCCCTCTCTCCAACGGCCAGGATCATTATCTTTTTTGTTTGGGGGAACAGCACCAAACTCAGCTCCTGTTTGGGGTGTAAGAGACTGACCAGGCCCGCTCTCAAACTCCACCTGTTAGCGTCTTTGGTCTTTCTTGTGGGAAAAGTTCCTCAAACCTTCTACGATTATGGAACCTACCTCAACACCCATTCCAAGATCAGACTCGGCAGACCCGGTGTTGGCCCTGACCACACCGCTGCCGAAACAAAAATCGACTTCCAAGTCTTCCTCAAAGTCGAAATCAGCATCAATCTCAAAGCCATCCTTGACACAGGCTCAAGAATCCTCTCCTAAATAAAAGAAGGATCAGGCTAAGCAGAAGGCGGCTAAACGTCATTCTAAGCCTAATCAACCGCTGGAGCCTCCTTTCATCAACCAACTCTTCTGTTCCGATTCTAGAAGAGCCTTCCAGAGAGGTACCTGACTCTTTATCAGAGGCGGAGAGTCCTCTCCCACTACCTCAGGGCCAGGTGCTGACCTCTCTACTGAGCCTCTAGCCCACTCATGGCCTTTCGTTGGCTGATGTTCTTTCCAGCCCAGCCTCGGCCCATACAAGCCCTGCATCCACAGGGTGGCCAGCAGTCACTCAGCTCTCCAATTCTGACTCCTCCTTGCAACAGCCACCTCCTCGCAAGCATCTGGTGAAATGACACCATCTCTCGCCTTCATATAGAGAGCCTCCACATTGGGAAAGCTATTATCTACATAAGCTCTCTCGACGCCAACCCCCTCCAGACTATTGGGAGACTTACTATCGAGAGTATGATCGATGTCGACACCAAGAAGATGACACCGACCCATACTGTGAGCCTTATTGTTATGAAGAACCAAAGAGGGTACGCTACGTGTACGCCTATCCTTCCGAGTCTTCACCATCACCTCCTCGGCATCAACATTGTAGTCATTCTTTGAAGTCTCAGCCTGACCCTATTGTATCGATGCCATCGAAGTAATCTTTCAAACATCGCCTACCACAACCGACTGTGCCTCACCTCAATCATCAATTACCAAAACGCACCCGTATATCTACAGTAACGGCTCCTACCTCTGTGTCCCAACTCTGGGAGGCAGTGGAAGACAGGAGGGCCTGGCGTGCTCTGGTCCATGGGGTCACGAAGAGTCGGACACAACTTAACAACTAAACAGCAAGAGAATCTTTACAAAACCCATGGGAGTGACACTGCATTTCTTGCTAAGCATCAGCCACCTGTCTCAATCATTGTCAAGTCCAATCAGTCTCGGGCTTGAAACCACTCATCAGTACCCCCTACTAATAGAGAAGGCAGGAAGCTAGACATCCTCAGCTGCCGTCTTTACTCTCTAGCATCCTTCATTATGCAGGTTGCCAATTACCAAGTGGCCATGGGGGCCTACGACAGGCAGCTCTGGAACAAGGTTCTTCCTGTTCTACAGGCCTCTGCAGAAGATTTCAGGGCAGGAGCACTCAACACACATCTTGAGACTTCCACCCTTGTGAAACAACAGCGCATAGTGGCATGCCACATTGCTGATGCAGCCTCTGTGGCAACAGCTGTTGTGCTTTACTGGCATGCCTGGCTTCATTCTGCTGTCATCACTGATGACGCCAGATCCTGTATAGAAGACCTCCCCTTTGACGGAGTGGGTCTCTTCCGACAAAACAGATGAGGTTATTGATAAGCTCCATAAGATCCGAAAAACAGCTAAGTCTTGCTCCACACAACAACCATACAGATACTAGCGTACTCAATGGTGCCGCCCTTCCAGCTTTCAACAGCCATATCAGTAACAGTCATATTGCCAATACAAACCTCCTGCTACCGATAGGTCATATCCTGTGCTGTCTCATTCTGCACCTCTGACTTTTCTGTCTCAGCACACCGGGTCAGCATCAACAGCCATTCTGTCGCCCTGCAAAGAAAGGCAAACAATATCTTTGACTTCCACCAGATCAGGATCTGCCACAATACACTTTTTCATCCTCATCTGGCCCCCTTCCTCCACAAATGGTCCCTCATCACCAATGACAGATGGGTGCTCACCAGCATTCAACAAGGATACCTTTTGAAATTCATACAATACAACTTCCACCTACCGGCCACTTAAGATCCACCCCACACTTACCTGCTCTTGAAGAGGAAGTATCACTCCTTCTTCAAAAACAAGCCATCCAAAAAGTTCCCATACACGACCTCCACACCATGGAGGTATTTCACAGTTCTCAAAAGAGATGGAGACCTCTTTTCTATTTTAGATCTAAGACGTCTCAACATCTATATTCAATCCAGGAGCTTTTGAATGGTCACTCTTGACACCTTTCTACTACATCTATTTAATTGTGGTCTCTCTCACCACTTTGAAAGTCTTTATTTCTGCCATTGTGGCTCACCAACCATCTAGATCAGAGGCTTTGCTCCTTTTTTCACACCCAGCCTTGAAGAGATTCCTCAGAGGCCTTCAGAATATGCACCCTCTTCAAAGACCTCCACTTTCCCAGTGGTCTCTCCAGCTCGTGCTCCACGTTCTCACCTGCTCACCTTTTGAGCTTCTTGCTTCCACTCACCTCAAAGTACTTTCTCTTAAGACACTGTTTTTGGTTGCTATCATGTCTGCACGCTGAGCTAGCAAACTGCCAGCTGTCAGGGCCAACACTCCCTATGTACAATTTCATCCTGATAAGGTCACTCTATCCCGACATCCCGTTCTTGCATAAGGTGATTTCAGACTTTCATCTCAACCAGCCTCTTATTCTTCCAACTCTCTTCCCTTCTCCTTCCTCGAATCTCGAGTGCATGCTACACACTCTCGATGTAAGACACTCCTTAGCCTTTTATATCTCCAGGACTAAAGACTTCCGAAAGTCCCCTTGTCTTTTCCTTTGTTACCATGGACCATGCAAGGGTTCTCTAGCCTCCTCGCAGACGATCTCTAGAGATGGATAGTCCAGACCAGATCCCTGGCATATGAGGTGGCTGGGAGGCCCCCACCAGATATTCTTAAGGCACACTCCACTAGATCTGTGGCTGTGTCTACCACCCTACTTTGTGGTATTGACATATGTTGATCTGCCACCTGGTCTACACCCTCAACATTTATCACTCATTACGGACTGGGCGTCAGAGCCAAGAAGGAAGCGGGCTTCTGCCAAGCCGTCCTTACTTCATTGCTAACGTGACATCCCACCAACCGGTAAGTCAGCTTGCTAGTCACCCATTAGTGTGCATTCATAGAGACCACAAAGAAGAGAAAGAGGTTACTTACCTGTAACTGTGGTTCTTCAAGTAGTCCTCTGTGAATCCACCCGTCCCACCCGTCCTCCCCTCTGTCCATCATGTTGTTGTCTTCATTTTTCTTTGATAGTGATGGACTTCCTTAGGAACTGAGAGACCTTTTGACGGGCGGAGCATGCGCTCCATGGGGGATCATCCTACTAATCAAATGTTTAAAGCTCTAGAAAGTTCCAAGGAGTCCTGTGCAGGCGCAGATTAACCCATTTGTGTGGATTCACAGAAGACCACTCGAAGAACCACGGTTACAGGTACGTAAACTCTCTTTCTGCTCTTTGGGATAAACACTTTTGTGCACTAAAATATGTTCACTGTCTTTGTCCCATGTAGCAGTTTAGCTTTGATATAGCTGAGAAAGCAGCTAAAGTGTGCCTTGCTCATCTCTTCACATATCAAGATTTTGATATGGGTACTCTTGGACTGGCTTATGTTGGATCTCAGAGACCAAACAGTCATGGTGGCATCTGTCCAAAGGGTAAGTAAGTCTTTCTGTTAGTTAAAATATCTAAAGACAAAAATAACTGTATATTCAGCATATATCTTCAGACAGCATTTAGGGTCTGTAAAACTATTCTTGTGAGAGCATCTCTGTTGCGTTTGTGGAGTTATAGTGGACATTATACTGTAGTGGTGGGCAACACATGGTTTTTGAACACTTCCAGCTTGAGAGGAGGGTTGATGTGCTCTGTTCTACATCCAGGGCGCAGAAGATTGGTCCCCGGGATCCTCCAGAGTTGCCAACCCTATCTAATAGCGAATAGAGAGGTCATGGTCACTGACAACATGGTATATATCAGGGATTCCCAAACTATGTGCCATGGCTCCAGGGGGCGCTGTGAAACCCACGCAGGGGCTCCACAGGAAAAGGGGTGGAACTTAGTGCTATGAAGACTGTGGAAGAACTCTTAATCACTCTATGAACAGCTCCTCTATCACTTTCATAGCACTGTGTCTAACAGGTAGTGGAGGCTATGTCCCTGCTTCTCCTTTTCCCATCTCTCCCAGGGGAAGTTCTTGCCAGTAGTCTTGGGAGTTTACTGCATCAGCACCTAGAAGCAGGTGGACTCTTGGGAATATTGGGCAGGAGATGGGATGGCTGGGAGGAGGTCAAGATCCTGCTCCTGGTGGGAGAGAGTGCCCTGATGGCCCCTCCACGCAAGGGGAGCCGTGGCCAGTGGTCAGAAAATGAAAGGAGCCATGAGGCCAAAAGGTTTGGGAAGCACTGGTATATATCATAACCAATCCTAGGCTTTGCAGGTGCTCTTTCTGATGCATGATGTACCACATCATATAAACCTGACCTTTTGTGCAGACCTTGATGATAAGACATTTTAATTTCCCCCAAACACACCTGGTTTCTTGCTCCACATGTTAAGCAGATGTTTCAGCAGTCTATGTCACCTGTACGTAACAAGAGTGGCAAGAGAAACACACAAAATACCTACAGGTGCACTGTTTTGTATATGCAGCATCTCCTCTTCAGTTGTGCCTTAGAACTACTTAAATAGGCACAAGGGCAGCACAAGAGAAATGTTTAGAAATGTTGGCCTGGCTGCGGTTGTGGATGACCCTGTTCTACATCTGGATGTATCACGAATTCCATCCATGCTATAGGCTAGCCTGTGTTCTTAAAATAATACATGCAGCAAGGATTAATCCTGCTTCAGAATTGCAACTTGCAGGATCATTTTCTATTTTAGATAATAGGCAAGGGAATCTTTCCTTTTACTTGGGAAGCATAAGTTCCCAAACAAATTACACAAGTCAGTTATGCAGTGCTGTAACTTGATTTTTTTTTTTACTTTGTTTCTGTTAGCGTATTCTAATTCAGCAGCTGGAAAGGATATCTACCTCAACAGCGGTTTGACCAGCACAAAAAACTATGGCAAAACTATCCTTACCAAGGTATTGTAAAATAAACTGCAGGAAGTATTTGCATTCATTTATATCTTTCTTGTTGGTTAGTTTCAGTCTTGATCTGTATGATGAAACAAAGTTACCTCATAGTTTAATATTTATAATACCCACATACATTTGGAGAACTGAAGAAATCGGTGAACTTTCTCATAGGTAGGCCTTTATTAAAAGGCTTTTTGATGTCATCCAGAAAAATGCATCTGTGTTTCTAGTAGTAGTTGGGGTTGCCCATTGTGGTTACTGGGGTGGAGCCAAGAGGGACAGCCTGCTACTACCAGCTGCTGTTCTGTCATCCCTATTCCCCCTCTCCCCGATACAGGTTTTGAACCTGGGACTTCAGCACAAGGGGAAAACAGGCAAGGCTTTTGAGCCTCCACACTCCAATATGAAAGGCAGGCAAGGATGGATTGGTTGTGAGAAGCTTGAGATTGAAGTGGCATTGCACTCTGTGAGCCTTAATAAATCAACTGCCACTGCTTTATTCCATGTTAACAAATATATTACTCCTATGTTTCTTTCTTTATGTAACAAGGAAGCTGACTTAGTTACGACTCATGAATTGGGACACAATTTTGGGGCTGAACATGACCCAGATGGTATGCCAGAATGTGCTCCCACCGAAGATCAAGGAGGCAAATATGTTATGTACCCAATCGCTGTGAGTGGGGACCATGAAAACAACAAGGTATTTATGTTTGCGTGTTGTGTGTGCTTGCTTCTTATGTAGAAAAACTAGGTTCTTGAATATAGCAGCACTGAGTGGGAAAAGAGGAGAGAGCAGAGGCCACTTATTTAATCTAACTCAGTTTAAGAGGGTTTCCATTGTCAAACTAATGTGGGTTTTATGTTCCCCGCCCCCTCAAGAATTTCTTTTGTAAGGATATTTTTGCAAGTCAAGTGATTAGAAGAGGCAGTAAAGCCGGGGATGCAGTAGATGTTGGAAGTAGATGTGAGAAACCTGTCTTCCCCACTGTATTCACCGTGAGGCCTTGACAGGTATACATACTTCCATTGAATCTTAAGGCCAGAAAGCTGCTTCCTAAAAATAGGGTAGAGCAGTGGTTCTCAGTCGTGGTCCCCAGAAGTTTTTAGATAGACTACAACTCCCAGAAATCCTGGCTAGCCCAGCTATTGGTGAAGGCTTTGAGGAGTTTTATTCCAGTAATGTTTGGGGACATGAGGTTGGGGACCACTTCTTGGGTACAGGGTAGATTCATTGTTTTGGGAGGCTGAAGTCTCAGCCACAGCTTGCATTGATGTGGCAGAACTGATGTTATCCGTGGGCTACACACAGGCTGGAGCTCATCCCTGCCTTCCTGATCTGGCTGTGCTTGAACTTTATTTTCAGCCTATGATTTTGAATGTTTTGGCTGATAATTATTTTCTAAATATTCTGCATTTTAAAGTCCAGCATTTTAAAAATTTGATTTGCTCTACATCACTTTAGGATATCATTAGATACAGGAAGGAATATAGAAACTGATTCCAAAATAATGCATTTCTACTGCCGTCCCTTGTTCCTTATCCAGATGTTTTCAAACTGCAGCAAAGTATCCATACTTCGGACAATTGAGACCAGGGCCCCAGAGTGCTTCAAAGAGCGTAGCAACAAAGTATGTGGCAACTCCAGAGTAGATGACGATGAAGAATGTGATCCTGGACTCTTGCGTCTCTATGATGATCCTTGCTGTACATCAGAGTGCATGCTAAAAAAGAATGCAACATGCAGGTGAGGGTGGGGGGGGGAATCTGTACGTTTGAACAATTCATGCATTGATTGAGGAAGCTGAAGTTTTTGGAGTTTTATATTATGAAATTAGCAATTGCTTGCCAACTGTTTAATTGGGACCACTTGTAATTTATTAGTGTCATCAAATGCTCTCCGTTCTTTATATTATGCATGGGAAAAGAGGAGAGGGACATTGATGGAAACCTCCTGAAATTTTTTTAAAAATAATTTTTAAAAAAAGTGTTGCGTGTGCATGTGATACCTATGTTTTTGTTCTTACCGCTTCTTTGAATGAGTCATCGTAAGTATTTAGACTTTTCCGTTGTTTATTTTTCTTTTCTTCTTCTCCTTCAGTGACAGGAATAGTCCTTGCTGTAAAGGTTGCCAGTTTGAAAGCGCACAGAAGAAGTGTCAGGAAGCCATCAATGCGACTTGTAAAGGAGAGTCCTATTGCACAGGTACACCCAGTATGGCAGTTGCCATTTTGTTATGTGCAGCGCAGATGCAACAGCAAACCATGGTGTGTTACAAAAATAATTCACAGTAACACAAAAGTATATGTATGTGTGTGTGTCCTCTTCCCAAACAGCCATTTCTCAAGTGTAGCAGGCTGTGTTTTACACACATTATTTGATTGTTACATTCGAACACTCTCAAGTGTAGCAGGCTGTGTTTTACACAAAGTACAGTTTATTGTTAAATCATTATATGATTGTTGCAGTCGAACATACCTTAATCACTGACATTTTTCATCAATACAGTATATGAGGTAGTGACCACTCTTTCCTTCTGTAGCAACAGCATTGTGGGAGGGGAGCTTCTGAGCAGAGAGGACAAAAAGGCAAAGTAGGTTGTGGGATGAGTTCCATGCTGGCTGTCAGGATGAGTAGAAAAGTGCCAGAATCAGTGGTAATTGTGCTGGGAGGACGTAGAGCACAGCCTTTTCCTCTGTGGTGCTGTCTGGGATATTTCTTCACTCGCCTGGCCTTGCTATTTTGGTATCTAAGGTTTTCTGAAGGAAATCTCCAATTCTTTCTGTGAATTAGTTTATGAGAACATTTACCAGCCTCAAGGAAGCCATGGCAGTTCGTTATTTCCCAAATAAGTACACACTTTTTCGTTTTGTTCACAGGGAACAGCAGTGACTGTCCTCCCCCTGGGAATGCTCCAGACGGCACCATCTGCGTGGATTTGGGCATGTGCAAAGATGGGGAATGTGTGCCTTTCTGTGAGAGGGAGAAGAAGCAGAAGCTGCGTTCCTGTGCCTGTAATGGTGAGGAGAACGTTCTCTTCTGGGTTTCCTTTGGAAGTGCTTCCTCTTCAGACTCTTCTGCGTTTGGGACTTCGCTTGCTTCTTTTCTCAGTCTAGATGAAGTTGCTGAAACAGAGCCTTCTAGCCCAGAAGTGGGGAAATGTAGTCCTCAGATGTTGTTGGAGTGTGATGCCATCAGCCCTAGCCAGCTTTAGTGTTCTTTTGGCCTAACCCGCCTTGAGTCTTTCGGCTAAATTTAGCTGTTGACTCAAGAATATATTATCTCCCTTGGAGCTTGGTTACATGTGGAGGGAAAAGCTCTGTTTTTGAATCAAGTTTTGCATGTTTCAAGTTGATTTATTGGTCAGCTGTTGCCAGCTGTAGGGATGCTCCAAACTGTAATCCAAAAATAACTACAGAGGGCTGTACTTTGGCTAAAACATTTACAGACAGAAGCAGAAGACAAAACAAGCTTAAAAACCAAGTTCACATTAAATGGAGAAGTCCGCATTTAAAAAATCCTAAATATCTTCTCTTTAGAACCTTCATCTGTTTCCTTGTGTTGTCATCAGTCCTTACTCAGGGAGGTATGTAAGACGCCACTTTGAACCTGTAGAGAAAATAAAGATTGTTGCTGCTAGCTCTTGTCTTCATCTTAGTCGCTGACTAAGAGACAACAGGAAAACAACTTATTTTTTGTAACCATTTCTTCACCTTCAAACATACAGTACTTAAGTTTCACTCTTTCCTTAAGTGTTGCAGCAACATGCAGTAACTGACTTTAGAACATTGTTTCTGCATTAGGGTTTTAAAACAAGGGAAGGAAATTTCCAGGCTGTGAACCCAATGCAGAGGTCTGTTGGCAGTCTCTGTCCTCTCCATTGGCCCTGCCTCCTCCTCCTCTCTCACTTCCGTCTCTGGGACTACTCTAAAGGGAGTCTTTGCTATATCCAGTCACTGCATCAAGATTTGGGGGAAGGGGGTCCCTTTCAGCCTTTCGTTTTCCTCCCTTTTCTCCATGAGGGAGGGAGAAGAGGAGCAAAGCAAGCCGCTTTTAACTAGCATTTGCAAGTACTGGCTGAGGACTTGGGCAGTGCCTGCAACTGCTAGCTAAGAATCCTAAATATGATCCCCATCAATTGGATTCTTTTCCTACAAAGCATGCAAAGCAGAGTTCAGTTCTTGACATGTCTACTCAGGACTCAGCCCTCGTGCAACAGCTTCCACGCATGGAGAGCACAGCTCAGTCCTGCACATGTCTACTCAGAAGTTTAAATACCTAGCTTCATAAAACCTTTAAAGAGTAGGATATATATCTTAAATGTCTTTAATCACTGCCTTATTTTCTTGATTAATGATAATAGCAGAGCTTCCTGTGCAGTGCTGTAGAAATACTGATGAGATATACACATAGTGTTGGAGGAAGAAAGAGTGGGCCTTGGTGAAGAAATACTTCCTGTGCAGTGCTGTAGAAATACTGATATACACATAGTGTTGGAGAAAGAAAGAGTGGGCCTTGGTGAAGAAATTTGCTTGTATTACTTGAATCAGAGCAGAGTATTTGTAGCAAAAGCAAAACTCTTCCTGAGAGATGGTTGGTTTGCTTTCTTTCAGAAACAGATGATTCCTGTAAGGTCTGCTGTCGAGATGGAAATGGGAGATGCAGCCCTTATCTTGATGCCAACCAGAACCCCTTATATTTGAGAAAAGGAAAGCCATGCACTGTGGGATTCTGTGACATGAATGTATGTTGATCTGAGGGGAGTGTACTGTCTAGCCTTCTCTAACCCTGAACTTTTTATGCTGAAGAATAATTGTATCCTATTTATATTGCATCCTGTTTTAGAATATGATGCAACAGTGATTTTTCTCTCTCTCTTGTTGCATCATATCCTAAAACAGACTGACTGCTTTTTTTGTTGTGGGAGCAAACACTCTGTTGCTATAGTTCTGTTTCTATTTTATTCCTTCCCCCCCATTTCCCCCCCACTTTTTCCACCCTGCCTGTTCTCCCTTTCTCTTTAGCTTGCATTGATTTGTGAAGGCCTGTTTATTGTTGTATTTATTGTAGGGACAAACAAAGTGCAGCCCTCCAGATGTTGTACTGGAGCTTCCATCTCTCATAGCTAGCATCATTAGCAACGAAAAATAATGAGAGTTGCAGCCCGACACCACCTGATGGACTGAATGTTGATCACCCTTGTTTTAGAGGAAAGAGGGCACTCTTCTGATCATATTCTTACTCTGGTCCCTGACCAGCCATGATTGAATCCTGATTATGCTTTTCCTTCATGATCTTCTTAATTATAAAATAATAATTAGCTGCTGTCAAGTCACTTATAGTGACCCTTTCCATGATTTTTCAGGTAGTGCATTCTCTTTCCTCCTTTTGTGGGTGACTGTGAAGCTGGCCCAAGGCCACACAGGCTGGCTCTGCTCGCAGCAGGCACAGTGGGGAAATTAAACTTCCAAACTCTGGCTCTGCAGCCAGGTACCTAAACCACAGAACTATCCAGCCAGCTCTAGCTGTATACATTTTATTTCATGTTAATTAATTCTATGACTTTGGCAAAAAATGTTGTATGGTAATTAACATCTCAGTTCTGCTGTAGTTGATGGGGCTTCTCTCATTCCTTCTCTGCCCTGCAAAACATCTTTGCAGTAATGATGGCTAATGTTCACATTGTTTAAGGTAGTCTTCTCATTGCTTTGCGTCTTACAGGGTAAATGTGAGAAGCGTGTGCAGGATGTGATTGAGCGACTCTGGGTTTTCATTGATCAGTTGAGCATCAATACATTTGGTAAGCCACACCTATTCAGAATCTTGAAATCCACAATTCATGTTCTTAATTCTGTTGCCTTCTATTTAATGACTTGACATTTTTGATTTTGTAGTGTGAACACTGAAATTGATGTTTTTATTAAGTTTTAGCTGTCATGAGTACATAAATGGTGATTTTTAAATGGTTTGGTAATAAACACCAAAGATACATTTATTTTTATATAATTAGTTGTTCCACTTAATTCAGGAAGAAGATATGCTTGTAGAAACACAATTGTTAGATAATTAAAGAATTGGTTTTAATAATGACTTCTTTGCTCAGTAGCGTTTTGGATACTTAAGGCTGCACATTCAGAGACTGAGTTTCCTTTCAGCATAGAGAGAATGGAGAAAACTCCCCCCTCTGATGCTGGCCAATAGTGAATGTATACGTTTTGTAGTACTACATGAGATCTTTCATTGATTCTCTCAGTTTCTTGATTTCATAATACTCTGAACAATGTTGTAACTTGCAGATACCTGTTGCATCTTTGATTTTAAAAGTGCCTGCAATTGAAATGTAAAAGTATCATTAAATATGTAGTGGGAAAGTAAAAGTCCTAATTGGGATGGCTCAACTGCTTATTTACACAGTTATTTCATGCCAGCAATTTCTGGACATTGTACAGCAAACAATTTAGAATGTTAGAGTAATGTTGCAAATAGTAAAGGCAGCTAGTCATAGTTAATTGAGAAATGAACAACAACAACAAAAGGTATTCTGGGTGTTTAGTTGTAAATGATGTTTTTTGAAGATGAGGGAGCCAGGAAATTAGTTTTGGCTACAAAAAGAAAATAAACTAGAGAAAACTTTCACTGAACTTAATGAAAACCGTAAAAGAAGGTAGGCTGCACAGTGTGCTTACAGCCTGCCATTTTTTTCTTTAATGTAGTAGAGTTCTGCACTAGTTTGTTTCTGAGTAGGGCATGCCAGATAGTGGAGGGGAGTTTAAGTGCTACTATAATTTTGTAAACTCATATAATGGTGATATGTTAGTTCTAAAATATTGGGAGAATGGCCTCCTTGTAGATAGAATATTAGTTACCATTTAAGTATCATCATCTTAAACATCTAATTGTTTCAGCTTTTTTAATAAATCATATGATCTTGTAACATCTGGAGGAGTCATTTGGAAAATGCTTGTAGCATTAGTCTGAACTCTAAACCAAAGAACATCTGACTGTCTGCCATTTTTCAAAGAAGTAGCTGTGTAATATGTCTATAAAAACCAAAAATATTGCAGCATCTCTAAGAATAACAAATTTATTTAAGTGTAAATTTTCATGGATTGCAGTGACACATCCAAACATGTGTGTGCTTGTCTCAGATTATTGAAACAGATTCTGTTTTCTTTTAAACAGGAAAATTTTTAGCAGACAACATAGTAGGATCTGTGCTTGTATTCTCCTTACTATTCTGGATTCCTTTAAGTATTCTTGTACATTGTGTGGTAAGTTTAAATTTAAACCAAAAACAACATACATTATAAGTCTGCTTTTAGATGTAATTGGTCAGAAATTTAGAGAAGTGTCTGACATATGTAGCTGTTCAGTAGCTCTTTTTTTCTTTCTGTCTTTGTGTCAAAAGCACCACAGTACTAATAGTAAACATATCATATTATTTTCACCCAATAACGAGCAACATCAAGAGCCTTTGAGCAATTATCATCAAACCTTCCATGATACTGGTTGAGGGGCATAGCATACAGTGCTGTAGTGTGGAGTTGACTGTTCTTTCCACTCTTGGAGGACTGTTCTTTTTGTTTTCTGCCAGTTCTGGTCTGTAGCCTATGCGCAGATAAATAACCGTAAGCTTTACTCATGGTTTAGAGACTACTTAGTTTAAAAATTCATCTTGGTTTCTGAATTATGTCAGGTTCCTTCTAGACCAACATGAAATCTGTCCTTTGGGTTCCTAAAATGTTGATAGCTGTCAAAAGACTTTTTGAAAGCTTTGATGGGAAGACATTTATTGCAAAAAGGGGGTGGAAATGCATTGTCTGAGACTTGATTGAGTGGATCTGACTAGTGTACTTGTAGAAGTATTGCTTGTGTGCCGGGCAAGATGTGACTGGCTTGCAAGATCACAGCATGTCTTAGAAGGCAGTCATAAGCTAGAGAGATGTGTGTACTTTAGAAATGAGCTGCTTTCATGGCTGAATTTTTTACTGTTCCCTCTTATAATAGGATAAGAAACTGGACAGGCAATATGAAGAGAACACGAAATCCCTGTTTGGTCCCAGTGTAAGTTTGTTTTGGGTTGAGGATATCTTTAATGTTGGGTTTGTTTAGAAAATATAGTTTGACGGAAGCCTGTAAACACTAAGTACTAAAAAACAGGTTTTGCACAACCAAAATTTCCCTGAAGCAGCTTTTCTTCCTGACCCGAATGTGTGATTTAGAAGTCAGACTAAAGGTCTTGCTGAAGGGTATTCAGTACCTCTCTTAAATACTTAATTCACTTAAGTCCTGTAATTTTTTTGTTTCTGGTGCTTTTTCTTCAGTGTAATTAATGTTTTCATTCTCAAATAGTAACAGGTGCTGTTGGCTAGTTCTGTTGTGTTGGTTCTATTTTATTCAGATCCAATTAGCTAGTTTCTGACAGTGGTTCTTAACCTTTGTTACTCGGATGTTTTTGAACTGCAACTCCCAGAAACCCCAGCCAGCACAGTTGGTGGTGAAGGCTTCTGGGAGTTGCAGTCCAAAACTCCTGAGTAACCCAAGGTTAAGAACCAGTGGTTTCTGTGGTGCTCTGCCATTTAAAGGGGAATAAATCATCCTGGAGAAATGATCTAAACTGTTTTACAGTTCTTAGATCCCACAGCCTGCAGGGAATCAGCTTTCTTAGAGATAATTCACTCCTCTCCCACCCACCAATGCCAGAATTTTGAGATCTAAAATAGTAGTAGTTGATCTTTGGTTCAACAAAATTTGAACCCTAGTACTGATCATGTTCCCATTTAAAATGTCAGGCAAAAATAAAAATAAAATAAAGAAGACAAGTGTTGTGGCACCTTAAAGACTAACTGCAATATTTTAATGTGGGCTTTTGTGGACAAGTCCACTTCCTCAGGCGTAAGAGTGGAACTACATGGTAAATATTTATACATTTAAAGATGTGTTCTGTGAATGAGGTAGTAAGAAGGCAGACTTTCTGCAAATAGCTTGACTAGAGAATGCAGGCAATGATTTTTACAGTCAGTCACCCTTGTTCTTGCATAACTGTACTTAAGAGCTTGTTCTCCTTATAGAATGCCGAGATGTTGAGCAGCATGGATTCCGCCTCTGTGCGCATCATTAAGCCCCCTCCTGCTGTGCCATCTACAAGTCGGCATCAGCCCCTGCAGCCTGTTGCACCAGTGCCTGCCACAGTAGTGGCTCCAAAACTAGACCACCAAAGAATGGACACTATCCAAGAGGATCCAAGTACGGATTCCCATGTTGAGGAGGAAGATCCTTTTGAAAAGGACCCTTTTCCAAATAACAGTACAACTGCCAAGTCTTTTGAAGATCTTACAGATCATCCTGTCACAAGGAGTGAGAAAGCTTCATCCTTCAAATTGCAACGCCAGCGTAGAGTGGACAGCAAGGAAACAGAATGCTAGTCTCTCACTGTCTTCTGAGCTGTTGACCTTGTAGTGCAAAAGTCCTGTTCGGCTTGTCAGCATAAGCCATTGCACTACAGAAACATGCATCTCTACATTTATGTATATATGCGTGTATTTTGAAATGGAACAGGGAAGTGAACTCTTGCAGATGCTGGCCCTAGGTAAGATCTTCCTTGGTTTCAGTATGAGTGCTCCTTAGAAACACAGAACCAAGTAAAGTATCAGGTATATCAAAACTTTTGGAATCTGCTCCATAGTATTGATACCAACATTTCTTTCCTTCCTTCAGCCTATGGTGTAGAAACATAATCTGCCTAAGATGTGTATCTATCTGGCTATATTTATAAAGTGCCTTCTTCTAGTTGAACAGCACTGATAAGAAACTCAAATGTACTACCCATTCAGAAGTCCAGTTTAAAACACACTATTTCAAACATGAGTAAAATGAGGTGAATTTTTTTTTACAGAATGGAGATTTATAAAGGGTGAAGCAGTTTGTGCCATATCTAAAGCAAGTAAAACAGCAGTGATCCACTAAAATATGCACCTCTAAATTTGATGTTTCCAGAATAATTTCAATTAAGATTTTGAATTATGTAGTGTTTCACCACAATCCAGTAGAAGAGACTGAGGCATCCTTCAGTTCTATTGACTATTTTAAAGGATGATTTGAGTGTGAACAACATTGTGCTCCATAGTGGCCTTTTTTACATAAGGAAGTTATTTGGAAAAGTGTCTTGTAATTTCACACGCTACGTGGACAAGAGAATAAACAGAAGCCTGTATGCCAGTATGTAAGAGATGAAAATAGTGATGCTGAGCACACACACACACTTTCATGCCATATAAATCTTGTGACTAAAAGGTGTTTTTTTTTTTTGAAAGATTTTAAATGTGCATTGTGTAAGGCATCTGCTCTTTGAGCTGGTCAACTTAGCTTTGCATTGTGATTGTTTCAGAGGAAAATACAACTCGGATTACATGTTCTAGCCTCTAATGTGGTGAGGAATGAGGCACTAAGAGCCTAGTTTGTAGGAAGAATCCTGACCTCACAAGCAGGGACTCCTGTGTGCCTTTTGCTGCCTTCCTTCTGTCCTACCACTTTCTCTTAGGATGGAGGGGAATGAGTTGAGAGAGGACAAATCCTTTTCATCCTGCAATCTGGGTAGGAAGAAATACGGTCTATTGGTCAGGGCCCACAATTAGCAACACGTGGACCGTAAGAGGATGGTTTGCTATTCTGTGTGTAATTGTGTCCAAGAAGTTTGCTCTGCATAAACTGTAGGCGTTTAATAGCTGTGTCTAATGTAAACTAAAATGTAAAAGCACACACCATTAATTATGAAAGACTTGTATTCTTTCATATTTGGAGTTAGCCAAACCTGTGACAAATGTGCATTTCTCATGGATGCTTGTTACACTAATACTTGAACCTGTGCCTTTCGGTATTTGTATCTATATTCTGATAATTTTTAGATTTCATACATAGAAGTAAACCTGATATGAGGAGTGAAAGCTCCCACTACAATGTAATAAAAAGATTTTTTATATATGCAACTCTTTCATTTAACATCTGAGACTTGATCTAAGACTGTGAACTTGTATTCAGTACTGTTAAGTGGACACTGGTTCAAAGCTTCTCAGTATCCATTGAATTTTTCATGTAAGAGAAATGTTTCCGTATTTTAAACTCATCATGAGAAGACAAAAGACTTGCTGTAAAAGCCAGTGCAGGCAGCAGGAAGATCGAAGAGGAGATGGATCGACTCCCTAAAGGAAGCCACAGCCCTGAGTTTGCAAAATGAGCAGGGCTGTTAATGGTAGGACCTTTTCAGAGGCCACTGATTTCCAGGACTGCCATTCATTAGAAACAACTTGACAGCAGATACCAACCACGTTACCTGTACTTGAGTAATCACTCTACTCTTTCTTTTTAAGGTGTGCAGATTTGAATTTTGAACTATGTTCCAAAATGGTTGACCAAAACACAAATCTACACAGCCTTTATACAACACCACTGTTGGCCTCAAGTTAGTAAGATTATTTTTCCTATCTTTTTTTCCCCATAGAATGTAGGAATTATTACCCCCATGCTTTTGTTTCCAGCAAAAGTGCTTTAAATCAGTGGCTGACAGGTACGTGCACCGTTGATAGTATACCAAGCTAGTCTAGGTGGCAGAGCCAAAGGTTGGGTGTTCGATTCCCCACTGTGCCTCCCTTAAGGGGGGATGCAACTGATGATCTGCTCTGCGGTTCTAAGAATGTCATTTGCTTTCTCTCAGTACCCGTCTCCATATTCCTTTGAAAGCATCATGTGGCCTCTTTTACTTATTGATAGCATTTGCCATAGATTATCTGCTGATTTGGCAGCATACGAAGAGTAACTCTGGACCTTGTTCCCTCTGCCTATCAACTTCCTATAAATGTTAAATGCAGGAGCAAAATGCTTGGAAACATAAATGTCTTCAGGAAAAGTAGGCTTTTGATTTCGCTTACTGGAGATTGGGGTGCTTTATTAGAGCATAAAGTAAGGAAGATTGGAAACCTGTTACTTGAAATAAAGAGTACAGGACAGAGGAATGCTTTGAAAAGTTAAATAAGCCTGAGGGCACCTTCCTACTTGATAATCAAGTTGTAAGACTGCATTTGTGTACATGACAGCCTTCTTTTGAGACTGGACTTGCGTATCACTGCTAATGTATTATTAATTTTCTGCATGAACAAGTACATATTTCTTAAATCTCATCAGAGCATTAGTACAATGGAACAGCAGTATGCCAACTCCTCTTCTTTAGTGCAGTTTTCCCCAGGTTTTTGGATCCTTCGGCTGGATTGCAATGCCCACTAAACCTGCAGGATCTTACCGCACTTTATAGCTAAATACCACTGTTTCATTAAAAAATTATTTATTCCCCCACTTCACCTCACTGCAAGGAATTTTATTCTCTACATTTAAAGATGCTGCTGCTGTCTGCACAGGTGCTTCTGTTGTACTTTCTATTCAATCCTGAGGACTGCCCAGGAGACTAGCTTCTGGATTTAGATGATCCACATCTCGCCAGTAGGGAAGCAGCATAGGAAGGGGGGATGTTTTTTGTTCCAGGAGTGACCAAAGCTGGTTTGCTAGGAAATTGTTTCCTTTGGCTGATAAATGGAGTCCATCGGATAGATAGCAGCAAAAGTCCTAGAATGGAGATACAGAAAGGTCAGAAAGTGTGTTAATGACTTGATACAAGGAATTCCGACAAAATGCATGCAAGTAAGCTACCAGGCGACTGCAGAAACAAAATAATGGGTGGGTTTGTGAGTGCTTTGAGTCAACCTTCTCACCCAGAGATTCTACCTTTCCTAGTAGATTTACTCTGCTATCTAAGGTTGAGGTGAAACCATTTATTTTTGGAAATAAGGAACACATTCTAAAAGTATGGTGTTAAAAATTCCAGGGATTTTACCTGATTATTTTTTTGCATCAATGTCCACAGGTCAATGAAAGAAGTGCCACACTCTTCTGCTACTTTAACACAGGCCTTGGCATATTCCCCAGTGGTAGAGTTGAGACGGTTTAATTTTTCACCTTTTCACAGTGATAAAGGGGAAAAAAGACTGTAAACAAAGGTGGGGGAAAGTTCAGACTAACAAAAGCAATTTCATGGTAGCCGTAGTGTTTTGACAGGCAAATGCATAATAGCAACATCTCTTGATCCAAAATGGAAGTAGGGGGTTGGTTACCTTTGGCAATACACTCTTTTTCCCAGGATGCTTCATGAAGTGGTGGCGGTGTCACCAGGACAACTTTATCTTCTGTAATATCCACAAATTTTAAGTACTGTATCATGGCTCTCAAATTATCAGCATATTCATCTAGCGGAACATGTTGTTTAGGATTCACATCTGTCCAGGGAAGAAGGTTCACGTTCAAGTAAAATAGCAACATTACTCTCTAATGCTGCAGTATTTCTTAGCTTGGCATGTGAATATGCAGAAGCTCATCAAGAAACTACACTGAGCAATGGGTTCTAGAGCACAGACAAAGAGGATGATCTCTTTGATCACACTGCTGGCAGCAGCTGTGCAAACATGCAGTACCTGCAAAGCTACACTTTTTAAGCTAGCACATTTCTGCTTTCTCTCACTTTCCAAGCTTGCAGGTGACCAATCATGGACCAAATAGTGTACACAGGAGGTGACCTATCTAGATGTATCTTTCCATTCAATGCATTTTTGGCCAGAGACAAAAGCAAAAAGACTGATGAGTGACAGTAATAGTGTTGACTTACCTTCTCCAAGAGTATGTCAGTCCACACAGAGAAGGGGCATGGAAGGGTAAAACAAGCAGACCCAGGCACTTGGTTCAGGGGAAAGAGGAATGAATGAGCAGCTTACAAACCCATCCACAATGACTCAAACAAATGCTTTTGACTCCACTGCGGAGGGGGGGGGAACCCATGGATTGGGGAAAGACACTTTGTGCTGATTACTGTTGACTTGTATGTCACATAGTCAACAGAAAATAAAAAGAATCTGACCATCCCAATCTCTGAGCATTTCCCACATTATTTGTCAATATAGACATCCCCTTAGTTTTATATGCCCTGCTTTAGGCTGGCCTCAGCTGCTTATTTCTTTTCCTTTATGAAAAGATGGTATATAAATTCATGGCATTAAAAAACAAGTTAAAATAAAGCAAAAAGAAAACGGCAGAAGCACTGTATAGTTGAACTGAAGCTGGGAGGTTTGAAATACATTGGACAGACTTTGAAACCTCTGAGATGACATGATAACAATCTCAGCTCCAACCTAATGAAACAAAATAGAACTGAGGGATGGGAGGATGGGTGCAAAAATGTATATATATATACTGTACCTTTTAAAGCACTGTCATTAGCGCCAAAGAAAACTGTTACAGCTACAGTCTTAGCAATAGAATCCTTGTTGACCAGTCTTGGAAGAACGATTTTTGCCCACCTCGTGTTATATCCAGAGAGTCCACGATTCAAGACATCACATTTTCTAAAATGAGTACATATTTGTTAATACATTTTAATCTACAGAAATCCCGTCTGTAATAAATTACATTCTAAAATGTAAAGTTGCCGGTCAGAGGTTTGCTTAGTATTTGTAACACTTGAGGAGAAAGGCAGGGTAAAAACAAACACCCACATGTGTCTCGGGAGTATAGCTTCGATCTCACCCTCTCCACCTTGCAGTAGAAAACATTTCAATGTCTGAGTGCAGCAGGAGCATATTTTAGTTTATATGTGGGTAGGCAGAATTTTCTGCATGCAGAATACTCTCATTTATGTAGCTTGTGTTGTGTTAATTTTAGTAACTGCCATTAGTCTCAAAAAGCCGAGGCTTTATATTTTCAATCAGTGTTTGTTTGTTCGACTGACTAACTGATTGATTGATTTGTATATCGCCCATCTAGCCTAAGGCCACTGGGAGGTTCACAACATGTTCAAATATTAAAACAGCACTACAAATATAAAATAAATGCAACATATATATAAAAGAATGGCGACGTCAAAACACTTTTTCACTGTTGCTCAAATCAAAAGGAACTGTATTTAAAAATCATGATTGTATGCCTCTTACTTTTGAGAAACATGGAAACATGCCTTACCTAGCTAACCTGTGAGCAATGGATGCTCCCCATCCATTCTCTTCAAAGGAAAACTAGAAGAAAAGAAGGCAATGCACATTTAATTCAAATAAATGTATTCCCACAACCTACTGTCCCATCTCCCGTCACCAGTAAGATGGTTTTTCTGGTAGTCTTGGCCTGTCTTCACCTCACAATGACCCACTAATTATCAGCCACAGAAACAAATTCCTCACTTGAAATTTAGGCTAGGGTGGCTTTTATTAAACCACCTCATAGATTATGCTGATTATGCCTTAGTCCCTAAGGAAGCTCTTTGCCTCCCTAAAACAGGCCAGGAGGTGCTGGAAAGGCCAAGGCAGGATTCTTTGAGAAGACATTAATGCTGGGAAAGGTGGAAGGCAGCAGGAGAAGAGGGGGGGGCAGTGGGAGGGATGGACTGACTCCCTCAAGGACACCACAGGGGTGAGTTTACCAGAGGCGAGCAGGCCAGGCTGGAAATGGGGGTCGCCCTCAGCCGGAGGCGACTGGAGGGCACGTTAAGCACAGCACCGCCGCTGCCCCAGAAGCCGAGCCAGAAGGACTTCGCTTCTTGCCGCGGGTCCCTCGGGGCGATGGTGGGGGGCGAGGGGGCCCGGCCCCCTTGCAAGCCGCGCTGAAGCCCTCGGAGGAAAATCGGAGTAGGGGGGAGGGGAGAAAGAAACCCATAACAAGCCCTCTGCCAAAAGTAAGGGTCCCGGCAGCTCCCGAGAGCTCCCCTCAGGGCTCCGTTGCTCCCAGG